CAAAAAAAAACAAAAAATTCAATCGTGGATTACAAAAAAAGAAAAAAACAATTCGATCATGGATTACAAAAAATTCAATCATGGATTACAAAAAACTCTATCTGGGTTACAAAAAAAGCAAAAAACAAAAAATTCGATCATGGATTACAAAAAAAAAAAACATTTTGATCATGGATTACAAGAAAAAAACAAACATTTCAATCATGGATTAGCAAAATTCGATCATGGATTACAAAAAATTCTATTATGGGTTACAAAAAAAAAAAAAACAAAAAATTCGAATAGGGATTACAAAAAAAAAAAACAAATTCGATCATGGATTACAAAAAAATCGTTCAAGTATTACAAAAAAATCTATCATGGATTACAAAAAACAATAAAAAAAAAAAAAAAAAATTCCGTACAGGACTCGCTGATTCACTGTTCGGACTCGCGATTCCTGAGTCGAACCGGGCGAGTCCGGTTCGACTCAGCGTTTTTTTAAACACTGGTTAGGACATATCTTTATCCCCCGCTAGTTCGCTAGGGAGGTCTAAAGCTATTTTATATGCCTTTTTTAGGTAATATGTGATACCAACCATTGTATGTCGTGCGTGATACCACAACTCTCCAATCAGAAAGCCATGATTTAACAACTCCCATCGCCCACTTGGAAAGAGCGATATTTCAGGGAAACCATTGCAAACAACTCAATGTTAAACGAGGTTTAGGTTTTGGAATGGAAATCATGAGCCGGCTGGCCACCATTGCCAAGAACAAGACCCTTTCTAGCTAACTAGGAACTAAAGTGACTTCGACACTCCAAAAAACTACATCTATCCTCTCAAGAACCTCGACCACCCATGGAACAATCCACGCTCAACGCTAGATACCATCAATAACCTTATCCTCATCCCATGAACTATAGTGCAAAACAAAACACCAAACAAATCCTGCATTGCCCTATACCAATAGAAGTAACAAACCTCAAACACCCATACCAAATCCTAAATCAAAACTTGAGCAAACCACCAAATACCTCCTAACCAACAGAATAAGTCATACTGAAAACCAAAATATAGTAACCACATCACATGGTCTAACCAGCATTCTGGAAAATAGATCCCTTGTGTTAGAGAGATGCACTCCAGTTGGAACTTTCACACTCAAGACATGATGATGGCTAATTGGCAATGAAGAAACTGTGAAGATGCTACGCATTAATAAGGCTTCATCTGCCAAGAGTGCCAAACACTATACGCAGGGCGCATCATCACAAAAAACCCGATAGGAACAAAAAGATATCTCCATAGCTTTAACACTATAGGCGGCTCCAGCCATGGTGAAAAGTAGAATAGGAACAGAGGTAGAAGGCGCCATTTTCAGCAGACGCCCCATTGTAAAAGGCGGTGGCAAACATGAGCTTGTTGACCACTATAACAATTTAAATTCGCTCAGTAAGTCGGTCAGTCAATCAATCCATCGATCAATCTGTTTGGGATGAGACAAGACTCAAGCGAGGTGTTCAACGATCGTGATAGAAGAATGTGGGGATCGCTCAATCCATAGGTCAGTAATTCCACTTCTATGTCAGTCTGAGTGTCATATAGAGTCATACGATCACTCGAGAATACATCCATAGGACAAGTGAGTTGGCTTGCTTCTTTCCTTTGCCGAGGGTGTAAGCAAGCGCAGCTCCATTAGTGAAGGTAGTCAGTTGCGAGACTACCGAGCATAAGGAGCGTCCCGAAATGATATTTCTACTACCTAGTATCGTCATGATATCAGCCAATTTCATTCTTTTAACTACTAGAGGAAGAATTTGCAAATTGATAAGACCAGGTGGACGAATTTTCCATCTCCAGGGAAAAACACTATTGTCTCTCGTCAGAAAAATCCCTAATTTCCCTTTTGGAGCTTCGACTCTCACATAGAGTTCTTGTTTCGGCATGCCTTGTACCACTGATCCATCAGCCTTGTTTTATAGACCCAACGTCTGCCAATAGCCTGTTTATCAGGCGGAAACTGAACCAGATCCCATGTCTCATTCAAGGGCGAGAAGCTCGCATGGCCACCAACAAGGCTGGACTGGGCATCCCTCATGGTAAGTCAGAATCAGCCGAGTGAAGTGAAAGGAGGCTGAGCACAGTCATTATCATCATTAAAGCCTTATCCCAGCTATTTGGGGTTGGCTGACATTTTATTAGTAACACTACTAATTTGATGTGTGTAATTCGATTTTCTTCCATGGACTTCTTGTTTTTACTTTGGTCATTTTGAATTTAATTCAATGATAAATGCTTTGGTGTTTTTATGTTTGTTAAAGTGATTCTTCTTTCAATTTTTGTAAGGTTGCTTCTTTCTTGCGTAGTTATCGTTACAGTTTATTATCACACTCCAAAATATTTTCAGTACCCTAAAAGATAGTGGGTAAGGCTGGCCCACTTAGTTAAATGAGAAAAATCAAACATCACAATATCTTCAAGTTCATCCACATTAATGTGAGCCATCCCTTTTGCCGAAAAGGGCACAAGCAAATCCGCAATAAAAAATAAAGTTTTCCATACAAGCACCATTCAGTTTATAAGCAGATTGAACAACCATCAGTAAATAAACACACAAATCTATGAAATCCAAAAACTAACAAATAATTGTCAACAAGCTCAAAGATACCAACCAATTAACTGAAGTATTGCAAGCAAGGTACTAAGAGTTACAATAAATAGTTTATAGAGCACTAGAGAATGACAATAAATAGCTTATAGATAGATAGATGGTTCACCTGATTTCCGCTCGTTTTATTCAGAAACATACAAATAACCAAGACTTTCCACGGATCATTGTAATATTTCTCCTGCATGAGGCCGAATGGTGATGGCGGGGGAACCCAATTGTTATCAGCGGACTTGCGTTTATATGCCTCTTTAAGCATCTCGGCCCTTGAGAGAACTACTGACTTCTTTTGTTTTTGCTCCGACTTCTTGATAGCTAACTTCTTTTGTTTTGGCTTTGAATTCTTGACCTTTGGTTCAAAGTACCTAGAAACTACAACACCGTTCGTCTTCACTATGTAACTTTTCGACATTAATGGCAGTAACACCTTATCATTCATTACTCCATCATCATTCCCTTTTTCACTACTTTTTTTCGCTTTAATATCCCTTCCATCTCTCTTCCTCATCTTTGGAGGAACCCTAGCAGCCTTCACCTCTTTCCCTAAGTTTCCGATCTTCCGTGAACTTTTTTTCTTTGTTTGAGAAGAAACCCTCTGTTCCATATCCACACTGCAATCTACCTTTTTTGGTTCAAAGTAACTAGAAACTACAACACCGTTCGTCTTCACTATGTAACTTTTCGACATTAATGGCAGTAACACCATATCATTCATTACTCCATCATCATTCTCTGTTTCACTCCTTTTTTTCTCTTTAATATCCCTTCCATCTCTCTTCCTCATATTTGGAGGAACCCTAGCAGCCTTCGCCTCTTCCCGTAAGTTTCCAATCTTCCATGAACTTTTTTTCTTCGTCTTAGAAGAAGCCATCTTTTCCATATCCACACCGCAATCTTCCTTTTGACGCAAATGTTGGAGAACTGCTGACTTCTTTTGTTTTGGTTCTGAGTGCTTGATATTTGGTTCAAAGTAAGGAGAAACTACCACCCCATTCTCCTTCAATACGTAACTTTTCCGTTTTGCTGGTAATAATCCCCCTTCATTCCTTTCTGTCTCATCATTCCCCTTCTCACTCCTTTCCCTCTCTTTAATCTTCCTTTCATCTCTCTTCCTCATAGCGGCCTTCCCCTCTTTGCCCAAGCTTCTGATCATCACCTCAGAAGAAACCCTCTTTCCCATATTCATATTACAATATTCCCCTAGACGCAGATGTGGGTTCTGCTTCTCGGAATACAGAGGGCAAACAGGGCAGCCAGCCTTCTCGGCCGCTGTGAAAACTGATAACTTATTTTCTGAACCCTTGGTTTTTAGTTCAAAGTAACGAGAAACTACCACCCCGTTCTCTTTCAATATGTAACTGTTCCTCATTGACGGCAATAAAACCCCACCATTCCTTTCTCTCTCATCATTACCCTTCTCACTCCTTTGTCTCTCTTCAATCTCCTTTTCATCCCTCTTCCTCCTCTTTCGATGAACCCTAGCAGGCCTCACCTCTTCGCCCAAGTTTCTGATCTTCTCTGAACCTCTTCCCTTCATCTCACAAGAAGCCCTCTCTTCTATTTTCACATTGCAATCTTCCCCTCGATGCAGATGGCAGTTTTTCTTCTAAAAATACAGAGAGCAAACAATAATTCATTCTTCCTTTCAACAATCTTCAATTCTCTCTCTGTCTCATTGTCCCTTCCATCATTTCCTGATACTGTTATCAGAGCCTAGAGCTTGCTCTTCTATCATCAGATAAACCCTAAATCGAGTTTTCTCTTCCACATTGGCTCATCTCTATACAACACCGTGAGTTAAATTCCTTTATTTCTCTTCAAAGTTGCAGGACGAGTTTGATTAACACTCTTGTGTTTCTTTATGGTTCTTGCTAAAATTTGGCACTGAGAAAGCTCGAAATTGCCCTGCAAAGTGCAGGTTTTTAATAACATTGTGTAAATAATGAGGTTCTTTCCCTCCATCCAACATAACACTAAACCGGCAAGGAAAAAGTTTACATAGGGCCGACGCTCTAAACAATCAAATTAGAACCTATCTCAAAAATTTACTAGAAGAGGTCGTTTTGATGCCCAAGTATCTTTAGATTGATTATCTCGACATCAAGATACATGGAGATAAGAAAAAATGGATTTCAAGTTTAAAAATAATGTATTTTATAACATATTTTTGGATCGATAATTTTCAAGATTTTCAACATTTCATTCAATCTACGTTATTTTTGAAGGTTTAAATTTTATAAAATAAGATGAAAATATATTTTAAAGCTATTACAAAGGTTTTCAATATTGAAACCAACATTTCTCAACGCTACTTGAAAGTGCATTTTACTTTGATTGTTTAGAACCTCGACTCTATACAAAAGGCACCCATATCTATTTGTTAAATAACTAAAATATTTTTGTTCTTGGCTGCAAATATCCTAGCACAATATTTACATGTTGGGTGAATTTATTTAAGGAAGGAAAAAGTTTATATAGAACCAAGGTTCTAAACAATCAAATTAGAGCCCACATCAAAAATTTCACTAGAAGAGGTTGTTTTTATGCTCAAGTATCTTTAAGTTGATCATCTCGACATCAAGGCGGATGGACATGAGAAAAAAAAAGATTTCTAGTTTTAAAAATAGTGTATCTTATAATGCATTTTTGGACCGTCAATTTTCAAGATTTTTAAGTTTTCATATATATGCTCGATCTACACTATTTTTGAAGCTTTAAATTTTATAATTAAAGATGAAAATGTATTTTAAGGCTATCACAAAGGTTTTTAATATTGAAACCAACATTTCTCAATACTACTTGAAGGTGCACTTTACTTTGATTGTTTAGAACCTCGGTTCTATACAAACCGTACCCATATCTATTTGTTAAATAACTAAAATATTTTTGTTCTCGAAGGCTGCCTATGAGTGAAATTTTGATAATAACAAAATCAAGTTTTGTTTCTTATTTTTATAAATATTGATAGTATTAGGGGGGGTTGACGTTTTTTTTTAGTATCCAAGCACAATATTTACATGTTGGGTGAATCTATGTAAGAAAGGAAATAGTTTATATAGAGGCGAGGCTCTAAACAATCAAACTAGGGCCTACCTAAAAAATTTCACTAGAATATGTTGTTTTGATGCTTTAGTATCATCAAATTGATCATCTTGACGTAAAGATGCATGGACATTAGAAAAAATATATATCTATCAAAGTTTTGGAAATAGTGCCCGTCAATTTTTAAGATTTTTAAGTTTTTATAGATCTACACTATTTTTTAAGCTTTAAATTTTATAATTAAAGTTGAAATTTTACTTTGAAGGTATCGTAAAGATTTTCAGTAATGAAACCACATCTCTCGACACTATTTGAAGGTACGTTTTACTTTGATTGTTTAGATTTATTTAGAGCCTAAGCACTATACAAACTACACCCTTTAAAAAATATATATTTAAAAGACCTTTAACATTTTAATGGCACCTAAATTGCACTCATTATAAACAGAAACCAAACGATAACAACTACGGTAACAATTTATTCGTACTTTCAATTTAAAGTGGTTAATGAACAAATGAAAAAATAATTGGACAAGTGAAATTCAATTCAACTACGGCAGCATGTAATTTCGCACCTGGTTAGTAATTAACAAGAGGTACATAATTACCTTAATAGATGATCAATTGAGGTATGGACGCACTTACTTTCTTCAGTTTAAAAGTGAAGCTCTAGGAAAGTTTATGGAAAATAAGGATGAGTTTGAAAATCAAGTTGGAACCAAAATTAAGAACTTTAGGTCAAATGGGGGTAATGATTATAGATCTGGCAAGTTGGTCTTGCCCATGGGACGAGACTGAGTAATACAATGTACTAGTAAATCAATTTAAAATTAAAAGTAAATCAATTATTCAATTCAATATTTACCCAAAAAAATATCCACTTCAAAGATAAATAACAACTATCAACACAAAGATAAAATATTGTGTTAATTCAGTCAAATTTAATCAATAGTTTAACTAGGGCAGGAGTACGAAATGTACCAATCTCGACGAGACAGAGAGCAAATACGTTAAAGTTCGTGGGTTTGAGAGAGAGGCTGTCAGAGGATGAGTGATAGAGTAGGAGAGAGAAACAAACTTCGTGGGAACCCTAAAAAAAAAGGAATGCTAGTTGTATAATGTTGTTTCACAATTGTTTTAGCATGAAAGTTTTCGGATAATAAAGAAATGACAACATTTATTTTTAGGTTTTTGAAGAACCGAAATTTTATTACTTTTTTATTTTTAAAAAACTGGAAAAGTTGATTTTTTGATTTTTCAAAAACCAAAAAGGATAGTTCCGCCTTTTAAAAAAATGTTATGATCATGAAAAAATGGGTATACATATAATAACAAAAACTTCATGGTATATAACGGATATACACGTTATTTTCTCAAAAAAAATTTAAAAACTCTTAAACTAAAATCAAAATATCTATCATTTAAAATTGAATAAAAATTAAAAATAAGAATAATTTTATATTATGTTTCTACCGTGCTCATTTTCCTATTACTCATTAGAAGTTAGCGAAGGCAGGATTTGTGATTTTAGCCCCTCATCAAATCCAAACTAGACATTAGTATTTGGTATTTGTGACACCAAAATTTTCCAAAGCTCAATATTTAAAAGATAATAACATTTGAAAATACTATTTACGGGCTCTATACCTACCACCAAATGTTTAGTGATTAATACTGAGTTCTCTTGTACACATAAGATATATCAATTATTTAAGAAAATGTATATAATAAGACTATTTACATTTCGTATAAGGAGATTATAATCATTATTGATTGATAGATGTGGAATGGGTAGTTTAAGATATGTCATTGACTAGGCATAAAGTCCAAAATAAATTTTCTCAAATATTGTGATAAATTTCAATATATCATATTTTACAATTGATAGCTAAGAATGATTGTGACCTCTTTATGCCAAAAGTGAATCATCTTATAACATATTGTCCCATTTTAAAAGTGAGATATTTGAATATTGAAATACTAATATGTATAATAATGTTTTTGAGCTCCAAACCTCGTATGGAAAACATATTTATTATTTTCCCCTTAAATATCTTTTCCTTTTAGCGGGTGAACAAATTTGGGAAGTACCCCTCCAACATTATTTAACCACTTGCAATGCATGCTTTGAATAGTTACTTTAAAAGTTGTTGGCCTAACTTAGAATCGCCTGAGTTTGATTGAGATCAAGAGGTGCATATGTTCGACTTGGAATGTCTTGGAATTGTTTTGATTATTTGGGGGATTTTATTTTAGAAAAGTTTATATAAAGTTGACACCTTAAAATGTAGAATTAAGGTGCACCTCTAAAATACTTCAAAAATGGCTCGTTTGATGTTGGAAAAACATCTAATTGATTATCTCGGTATTTAGATGTATAGATATGGAGAAAAAAAAGAGATTCAAAGTCCTAAAAATAGTACATATTGCAACAAATTATTTGGACCGTCTATTTTCAAGATTTTCATATGTTTATGGATCGGCTTGATTTGAACTATTTTTAGAGTTTTAAATTTTATAATTAGAGGTAAAAATAGATTCTCACCCTATCCTAGGAATTTTCGGCACTAAAATTACATCTCATGACAAAGCTTTGAGGTACACCTTAATTTGATTACTCAAGGTTGAAACCTCACACAAACCACACATTTTTCTTTTCCTATGGAAATTTAATGAAGAAAAAAGTTTATATAAGGTGTCAACCTTGTATTATAGAAATAATTTACATTTAAAAAATCTATTGAAAATTGCTCTGGCCCTAGAAAACCCTCCAACGGATTGTCTCAACTTCGAATAATCTGTACTATTTTTGAAACTTTAAATTTTATAATTAGCAATGAAACTAAATCTGATGTTATGAGAGAGCTTTTGAGCACTTGTTACTACATCTTTTACCACGGATTAGAGAAGTGCCTTACTTTTAATTGTTTAACACATTCTTCAATAAATCACACCTAGGAGTTAATCCATTGATTGTCTCTCCATATCTTTCGACCTACTTTCAAGCAACCCATCATTCTTGTCAAATTTTACAAAGCTCATTAAATGCTGCATTGTTGTACGTTTTGAAATTTATTAAATGGTATATTGTTAAATGTTTCAACTTTTAAGTGTGATTTGGTATATCTTTTTTATTTCTTTGTTAATTATAACTTGATCTTACTTGGAACCGCTTGAGTCAAGCTGGGTAAATCAGAATGGAACCATGGCTATTAAAGGGTAGATTCGTATTTCTTATCACTATTTTGAGGAATTTAAGATCTCCTTAGATGGTTTAGGGCCCAATTCTTAACTTTCTATCCCTACTTTGAGAGATTTGAGGTAAGTTATAAATCTTTTGGAGATTACGAACGAAAGATTATCTCTTATTATTGTTCGCTAACTATGCAAAAGGTTTTCGACTATACTAGGGTTTTTGGCTATGAAGGTTTATGCGTTGCTCAGCCATGGTGTTTAGATTTGTTGATCTGTCGATGGAAGGCTCTGGCCATGAGGAAGCACTTCCCATGGATGGGAAGCCAACGGATCCTCAAATGACAAACTCGTCTCCTCCAAAGAGATTCGGTGCTAAGAAATTGGTGGTTAGTTATGGAGGTGAGGCTAGTTTTCACGTCATTACCATGCCCGCACATGACGGACACGCAACTTGGGTTCAAGATTGGTGGAGTTATAGATGTTGTTGGCGGAGAGGATGGGTTTAAGCTTTTAGATGGTAATAGATCCATGGCTGGCCGAGATGATCGGGGTGGATCTGCTGCTCTTATTGATGATGATCTGCTACAATTGCTTCATGGTAATAATTTGATGGCTATTTTAGGATCCATGTTGTGTGGCGAAGATGGTGGTGAGTCTCACGAAGCTGTTCTTGCTGTGGAGGGTTGGTTGCAACGTTC